ATATAAGATTTGTTTAAATAAAAAATCCTTGTATGACATGAGTTGGCGATGACGTTTTACCGTATCATACGAATCTCTTTTAGCATGTTTATACAAATATGATCGCAATTTTTTCGCCGTTATATATGAATCCTTATTATATGAACCCATTTTATAGGGGGTCTACTGTACATGCTTTATAATAATATAATATTCACATAACAGCAAAATTTTATGAATTTAATCAGGGCCATGCTGTACTATGATGCAGAGGAGTGGCTGCATTAGGTAGCACAAGCAGCATTTAAGGGGTGGTATAAGCAGAATTTAAGAGGTGGCATTTCAAAGACTTGCATCATACTGAGAAAATCTACCGCATGGCCCTGAATTTAATTACTATAAATATAATTAAATGTGAATAAAGATTTAATATTTCCAAAATTTCAAATGAATTCAAACTTTCAGTTATTTTAACATTTTTTTAAGTTTTTGGATCAATAATATTTAGATATTTATAATTATTATGAATGAAGCAAAGATAAGATCAAAATTACATTTTAAAACAAAATTATCATTTTAAAAAACTTAAATTTTCAAAACAACAATAACGACTACTGTGAGACATGATTTGATGCAAATAAAACTCAATTTTATAGCATCTATAAATTAAAATTTATAAATATTTTTATAAATAAATAAATTATTGCTCTTAGAAATATAAGACTTCATAAAAATTAAAAATATAAAAGTTAGTCAATATTATAATTTTAGGATAAAAATTTTCAACATTTATTACATTCCTTCACATTTTTAAAATAAAATTATACATAATAATATTTTCTTAATAATATCAATATTAATATGTTAGTCATACTGAATTTTATAATAATTATGTATTTTGATGAATATAACATAATATACAAATTATATAATTACTAATATAAAGTTATTTAATCTATTAATTAAATATTAATTACCATAGAGTTAGATTTATAGTGTCTGTAAATCATGATTGTAGACATATATTTTAAAATATTTTATTAGCAATAAATTTAAAAATATACCTAAAACAAGAATTTCAACATCAGCTTCATCACGACCANTTTTTTTTATTCATACCCATTTAGTTGCTTGATTTAGCATTTCCTGTCTTGCTGAATCAAAAGTATGGCCTTTATTCAATTCTTCTTCAGCCAATTGAACCATTTCTTTAGCTGCCATATGAGAACCATTTGCTCTTTCAAATCTAAGTGCTGCTTTCTGAGTTTCATTCTGAAGCTTCATTAAAAAAACAAAAAAAGTCAAGTTATTTATATACTGTATATTAAAATATTTTTAAAATTTTAAATATTAAAAAAAATTACTAAAAAGTTAATAGATTTGTTAAAAAGTAATTTGTAGAAAAATTTTAAGATAAACTAATAAAAGAATTTATTAAACATTCAATACTTGATCATCTCAAGTAATTTATTTGTGAATGATAGCATTATTACTTTTATATGATGAACAATAATTTTATATGTGATAAAATAGAAAGTAAAGTTAAATAGAAAGTAAAAATTTTTGAGTTGCAAAAATTCATATTAAAAGGTTACTTTTTAGATTAAAATGTTTAGTGTGTAAAAAGAAAATAATATTTATTAATTTAAAAGAAACAGTGATTAAAATCTTAAAATTCTTCAAGTATGATTAATTATACAAGTTTTCTATATATATTATGTAATTAAACTAATTTTATTTGTGTTTTTATATCATCTGCTTTTTATAAATTTCAGATTATAAAATGAGATACATCTATCAAATTATTTCCAATATGATTATTAAGGTTCTTCATTTCTTTTAGTGATTCAAAATTGATTATTATAAAAAGATATATTTAAAAGGTTTAAATTAATAAGATGATCTTAATCATTTTATTAGTTAGATATTATGGTATTAAAAATTCACATTTATTGAAAACCAAAACATTTCTAAATTATAAGCAATCTAGCAGGCAAGCCCAGCATTGCCTGGGCAAAAAATAAGAACAAACATTAAGATTATTAGATTCTTGGTACTTCTAACCCTTCTATTATATTACATTATAGTATTTAGTTTATATAACTACAAAAGTTATCTTACATAAGATTTTATCGCGTGACCAATCTTTAAATTGTGTACAGTAGAGAAATAAAAAATTTTTAAAATGTGTTAGATTGGTCACTTGGTGTGATAAATCCTTACATAAGATAACCTTTGTTGTTATATAAATCAAATACTATAATATAACAAACATTAAAATAAAAACCATATAAAGAGTTTGGTTATTTTAGCCTACCATTGTCATGTTTATAAAGATACTTAAATGGTACAAAATGGCACAATTTCATTGGTCATTTTTTTTAATGTTATCTCTAACAAATTGTTCCATTCACAGCTGAATATCAAATGGTAATCTGCCAACAAATAAAATTTTGTGATGGACCAAATATTTAAATTTTGCACCCTTGAAAACCACTTAAATCATATTTTGTGCTCGCTGGTAATCTTGTATTATGTAATTTTCCTATTTGAATGCCACCATACCTTTGGTCTGAAAGTAAGAAGGGAGTGTAACAGTAGAAGATTGAAATAAGTTTGACCAAAAGTAGTAGTTGACTTCCTCCCGAGAGATAGGATAGTCAACGACTACTAATTACTGGTCTACTATTAATATTTGAAAAGTGATCCATGTTAGACAGATTGTGATGTCCCCATATGTGATTGAATTTGTTAACCTTAATATCTGAAAGACTTGATATAAGATTTGTTTAAATAAAAAATCCTTGTATAAATGTGAGAATAATTTCATTTATGTGATACTGTAAAAAAACTGGTGAAACTAGGTTGATAAAGTAAAGCTCAGCAAAAACATCTAAGTAAAGGAAACTTTTGAAAGTTGTAGCATACTGGAAGCAGATTTGGCAGTAAGGCTCAGCATGTAAATAAAGTGCAAACCCATGAATGACTATCAGTATTTGTGGTTTTATAGTTATTAGAGGATACTTATTGGGTTGCAATTTGAAAAAACTGTAGACTTATAAATTCCCACTGTTGTCTGTCTGCCTATCTGTCTTTCTTTGATCTCAGGAACAGAGTTATACTCTGTTCGCACCAAGCATTTCGATCTAGATTGTGACTAAGGTCGGAGAGTGTTCCGTCTCGACTGAAACAAGGTTCAATCGCGATCGACTGGAGAGAGTTCTCGAAACTAGATTCAGTCATAAGAGAGATCCCACAATCCCACGCGCACGAGAAAATACAAGATGGCTGCGGAACACGTGTCGGGCTATTGACAGAGAAATAAAAAAGACATCTGGAGAGACGACAACATCTGTCTATTATTAGATGTATGGCAAGAAAAAGTATTTATTTCTAACCAAAACTTCCATTTTGTTTGTTGGTGTTTGTGACATACCATGTAGTTACATCAGTTTTATGATCGGGTGTAATAGCCAGGTTCTTCTCAAACGGACTGCCTGTGCGAACAGCACGACGTTCGACTAGCGACAGTCACAATCCAGATTGTATATCTACAATCTGGATTGTGACTGTGACTTCAATTGAGATTGAAGTGAGTCGTGGATTGTGTGCAAATGTAGTATTAGATAGATGAACATCAAGACCAGATATGGAAAGCGTAAGAGAAGGTGACCCAAATTAACTAAATACAAAATTTCAGTTTGAACTGGAAATCACATTATTTCAATTCAAAAATTTTCCCTTGAATGCAGTTAGATACATAACCAGACAACTCTATTGCTAACAGGAAAAGTATAATGTACAGGAGAAAAATACTACTCCACTCTATGCAGCCAAGTGTCATGTGCTACCTGTCACAGTAATGACGTAGTGGTGTGTAATAATGTGTCTTTTTTACACTATATAATTGTTGCAGTATTTAAGTGAATATAATATATATATATATATATCTTTAATTATATCCTTTTTTGTAAGAATTATATATAATTTTATTATTTTCTTAAATTTTTTCAACAGATGGTGCTCCATGTAAACCCAGCAAATGAATGTAGACAGAAATTAATTGAAATATAGAAATCCAATCAATATTTTGGGGTGGGATGTATGACTTGATCTAAATTAGATGTATGTGAATGCAACTGCCAAGTTTCATAGCAATTGGCAATGCATAGCAAACAAACATCTTCATATATATATATATATAGAAGATTATTAAATAATTTCAAACATGATTTATTTACAGTAATAAGTAACTGAAATAAAATACTTCAATTTTTATAAAAATAAACAAATGTTTAAAATATTTTGATAAATGATTATCAGATATAAAATTAACTAAAGGAAATACAGTAAAACTTCGCTAAGTCGAATTGCTTTAATTCAAAGCTGTTTTCAGATCCCAGGTACTGTATAGTAAGTAGAGCTTTCCTTATAATTCAATCTCTTTAAATTGAAATTGTTAATAATTTTAAGTTGAACATATTTTCTTGTATACCCTCCACTCTTTGATAGGTCTGTGATCTTAATTTCTTGCATTGACATCCTTTTATTAATACAGTTTGTTATCAGTGTTTTGAATGGGACACAAGGAAAGCATTGACAATGCTCTCAAAAGCATTATAAACTATATACAATTTTGTAATCATTGTGAACAGATTCTTAAAAAAATGGTTTGATAATGGAAAGTTTAGTGCCACAAAAATCAGATATTAAACTTGTTAACTCAAAATTCTTTGATTCAAAGATGGGATTTTTTTAAATCCTTAAACTTTGACTTAATGAGATTTTACTGTAATTTATTCAAGCTATAAAAAATATTTCAATACATTGAAATGTTTTTTTTTGTTGCTTGAATAAATTCTTTATATTCTTTCTTTATTTATTATCATCTTTCTTAGAAAAAAAATAGAATTTTTGAGAATGATTATATTTACTAATTATTTTAATGTTATTTATTTACATTGCTTAATTTATTCTGAATGTATATATAATTACATAATGACCTTCCAGATTTTAAACTACAGTCATAACTATCTGTGTTTAACATAACTTTCAGTCATCAATTGTTACTTTACTTTACACCCTTGTTAAAACAGGTGTCAAACTGGCAGCCTGATGTGATTTTTCATGGCCCCTGGCCACAATGCTCTGAAATTAAATAAAACAGCTTACACATCAAAATTAACTGATAAACATCATCTGCCATGATGAAGACTGTTCTCAGTCTTTGAATTCAGATGTATGAAAACAAGGAGGAAGATAGCACTGGCAAGTTTTCAGTGAAAACAATTAATTTTAGTTTTATAAATATGTACATTAAATAAAACAAATGTTTAAATGAAAGCAATACCATAGCAATTATATATTCTTGAGTCAAATTCGCTGAACTACATAATGTGTTTTAACTGTTCTATCTATATTCCTGCGTTATCACTTCAAATTATAATTTTTAGAAAATTTGTAAATGTGATGTGGCCTGTATGAATCTTACCAATGGCCTGTTGTTTAAATGAGTTTGACACATCTGCTTTAAAATATATTAAAAAAAGATAAGTCAAAACTATAGTGGCACTAATAAAATGCAACAAGCTATTATTATAAATTAAAACATTCATTAATTTTTGAAGTAATATTTCAATAATAAGGGACACTGCACAAATCTTACAGAAAATGGATCCTGTTAGATTTAGCTGAATTTTTGATATTTTGTAGTTCTAGTGGTTCTGATCAGAAGTCTCCATAAGCACAAAGTCAAAAAATGGATGATTTTTGAGTTATCAAGTGTCCAAGATGCAAAAACAGCATAACTCATGCATGAGTCATAAAGCCCTAAATCTTTTTTGGTTAAAAACTTTATATAAAATGGCTTGCCCTGACAGAGTTCCTTTTCAACTGTTATCAAATCTTGGCAGAGCGGGTCTCTTGCAAGAATGCCCATGCACCACATAGCAAAGTGTATTATATCTACTAATGTAGAAAGAACCCAAACAGCATAAGAATCAAACTTGCATGTATCACATAATGAATGATTTTCAGATAATGAACATCAATAATTTTTGAAAACATATAATCTCACATATATTTTGAAAAGAAAAAGAAAGATTTAAGGCTTCACAATCATGGATGTATTTAGACATTTATCATTCGGGCTTGGGAGCATGGATACTGACTTCATCAACTATATTAATGGTTAATACCAATAGTTCATACAAAGTACCAGTCAAGAAGGTTGGCCCTCACTCCCTTCTTTATAATGCTATATTTCTCTTAATTCCAAAAAAAATATATATATACATATTTTTTTGTTTTGATGACAAGACTTGACATTGAATTTGTTGACATTGGGAGGAGTGAGATGCTCTAATCTTACAGTAACTTCTTCCCTGTTTAAAACATGTGTAAATTATGTTGTCTTTTTGCATCATGGATGCTCAATAATTCAAAACTGTTCATTTTTTGACTTTGTGCCTCCAGAGACTTTTGATCCAGACCACTAGAACTACAAAGTATCAAAGATTCAGCCAAATCCAACAGGACCCATTTCTCATAACATTTGTGTAGTCCTTCATCTAAATATGTTGAAAACAAAATATCAAAGTATTTTATGATTNTTCTGAATTATTCTAATTAAATAAAAAAATATTTATTCAAAAGTTGAGTTATTCAGCTATGTTGCTAACTTGTTAATTACAATATGAATTAAACTTGAATTTTAATTTAGTTAAATGGAATGTGTTAAAAGCATAACAATTGTAGCATGCTTTCTCCAAACAACAATTTTTATCAAAAACTAACAAATGCAAATATCTTTACTTGGAAAATGATTCAAATAGATACATAATCAAATGATCGCCTTAAATAATTGGGCTATAAATCTGGTAATTTAATGATTAATACTAAGTAATTTGCTATTAGAGATAGACGTTAGGTGCCATCTCTTATCTAAATGAATAATTATAATTTTAATAATTTATTAAATACTGTAATTTAGAATCATCTGGAAGAAAAGAACTGGCCAGGATAGGGCTTAAACTGGGAACTACTCTAGACTTCTTTTGGAGAATTCATATGTTGTACATTCTCTTATTCATCTCCAATATTGACATACATTTTGGCCAGTGCCTTTCCTTGCCTGGAGATAAAGAGCTTTATTTTTCCTTACTTACTCACTTTTAAATTAATAGGCTTCATTATTGTCTAAAGTTAATTTTCCCTGAAAAAAGTTTTATTTGATATCATTATAATTTATGCATTCAACTTAGTAAATGGCCATTGGATTCATTCCAGTTAACTATCATAGTAACAATAGAATCTTAATAGAGATTATTCCTAGTTACTCTGTTAGAGGACAAGGAAAAATTTTAATTCAAGCTTTAGCACTGTTCATTCTTATAACCCTTGTTAGCTGACATTCATCTAAGAGAGTAACTGTTATCACCATTGTTTAGAAAATTAATTTAAACAAACAAAGAAAAGATGTTGAACAGTAACATTGTTTTTATACAAAGCAGTAAAATTTTAATATTTATTTAAAAATTAATTTTTACTTACGATATCTATGTTTTACTGTATGATTATCTGTTGGCTCACTAGGTTCACTCACACCTGCCTTGTTTATAGCTTTCACTCTAAACTGACAAACCATATTTTCTTTTAAATCTTTAACTGTAGCTTCACATTTGTTACTTTCTGTTTTAAAAATTTCTTTCCATTCAACACTAAATCTTTCCTTAATTTCAATAACATAATGGAGTATAGGTCTGCCTCCATCTGATTCTGGTGCAGCCCATTTCAAATCCACTCGAGTATTATCATAATCAACAATATCAGGTTTACCAGGTTTTCCAGGTTCATCTATTTTTAAAAATTAATTTAATAAAATAAAAAAATATAAAAAAAATTTAATTTAATTTAATACAATTACATACCATATGGATTCTTTGCCAAAATTGGTTGATCAGTTTCCAAAGGAAGAGATTCACCTTCTTTATTCACTGCTTTAACTCTAAACTTATATTTCTTTTTAGGTGTCAAGCCTTCAACAGTAAATGATTGTTTATCTGGTCCCACTTCCCCTGCAGGAATCCATCGTCCAGTCTCAGCATCCAATTTTTCAATTACATATCCTTGTAATTCTTGACCACCAGTATCTAATGGTCTCTGCCACTTTAGTTTAACATGATCAGCTCTTACTTCTTCAGGTATAAGTGGTCCTTGAGGTGGAGTAGGTTTATCTAAATTATAAATTAAAAAATAGCCACATTAATCATTAATTTTTAAATAAGCTCTTACTTCTTCAGGTATAAGTGGTCCTTGAGGTGGAGTAGGTTTATCTAAATTATAAATTAAAAAATAGCGCATTTAATCATTAATTTTTAAATGTAGCCTATAATTTATATTAATTACATATTTGTTAATTGTAACCAGAACTGCAGAATATGTTTGATCATGCAAACAAAGTTTGGGGAAACTTGCAGTAGAATAAAATATTATGGTAATAACAGCAAAACATGGAGAAGTATATTGGCTAAGACTATGGACATTAATTGGGGAGATTCACCAAAATGCAAGAATTGTATGTTTTAAGAGAGAAACTGAAATGTTGTTTACTTTGTTTCTGGTCAGTTCAATTACTTAATACATTGCTGCTACTTATGCAGTTAATGTTTGCAGTAAGTATGCATTGAGTTATGGAATCACTGTTTTGATTTTTATAAAACCAAAATCAGGCTTTAAAAAGTACCAAAAAAAGAAATCCAATTTTATTTAAAAACTATTTTTGATATATTTATATAAACTTTATGATTAAAGATTTTGTAAATTCTTTAGGAAAATGGGATATACGCACATTTGTGTTATATCTATTACAACATCCAAAGTTATGTTTGGATGATCGGTTCTAAAGCGAATCAGGTCCAAATTAAAATTTCATTTGTTATCTACTGTTTTATTTAATTTTTGGAAGTTTTCTGAACTTCATGCTTAAAAAAAAATGATGCATTATATACTGAATTAAGTATATGTAGTACCATTAGTGTATTTTGAATTTTTTTTTACATAAAATTCTTAAATAAGTCGTTCTCTAAAATAGTTTTCGCGGACTTAGTCCACTTTGATTGCATAAGCTTAATTTTTTTTTGTAAAATGTTAACTAGCCAATTATAAAATTCCTAACAGTTTTCAATAGTAATAACTCGAAAACAAAATGGTTGTAGGAAGTGAAAAATTCATCAGACAACTTCTAGAAACTTGGAATTTTATTTGAAGTAAAAAAAACAGGTGTGACAACTGCAGGAATCTAAAATAATGCTTGATACCCTGTACTATCAATATAACAAAAACAACTTTTGAAGACAAAACATGGTATAGAGATCTATAAAAAATTCTTCACGAAGTTGTTTTACCGAGTAGTATAAATGATGTTATAGTGTCGGCTTTTTACAGCTTTATAAACTCGATAAAATTGTTTCTTCATTTTTTTAATATTATTATTATCAAACCCGTAAGATTGTGTATACTTTAAAAATATATCGTTGTGTTTTAAACACGTCTAAAAATCACAGGAAATATGATTTGGAGGAAAAATTTCTAGAATTACAATATTATCTAAACTTTATATTTTAATCTATGCAAATCTTAAATCTCTTAAGATGTTTGATGGATTTCTTTTTTATATCATTCATTGAAATTACATTTATGAAAAAAACATTAAAATTTTTATAATTATCTATTTTTTTGTTAAATAATTCATTTTTTTCAATCCTAATCTTCAAAATTAAATAGAAAAAATATAAAGATCAGAAGTATAAAAAACAAAAAAGTTCTCAGTTATTAATCATTTTTTAAACTTTTGAAAATTGATATTGCAAATTCTTTAGAATTAATTTTACTAAATTTAATTTACCAATTTACTATCTAAGAATTAAACCAGCCAATCGAGAATATTTTCTCTAAAGACAGAATAGTTACTGAATCTTCTTCTTCCACTCATTCTATAAGTATATCTACTTCAAGTCATAGACAGTTCGGTACTTAAACTTCGATCGATCATTCTTATTATAAATATAAGTTTTTCGTTTCTTTTTAAAATTCATAACTACTATTGTTTAATTAGAAATTAGAGATAATCTTCTACTAAATGGAAAATTAAAATTTTTAAAACTGAACATTTATATTTACGAAAATTAAAAAAACTGCGTTTAGAAGATTAAAATAAACAAAACTGAACAAAAAGTATGCATCTCATCATGCCTTTTTTTAAAATTTATAAATCAAATTAAAAAAAAAACGTTCATAAATGCATAAAGAATACTTTAAAGCAAGGTCTACATCCTAAGCACAAATATGACCCCCGAAGCATATTTACTTATTTATATAAATAATTTTCTTTTTAAAATTCTATTTTAAAAAGAGAATTTGGTAAATCTTTACAAATCTCTGCCAGAAGAGAAATTTGGGAACACCGTAGAATTTGTACCACTTAAGGAGAAATGTTTATTGTGAGTGAAATTGTACTGTACCTGCAATAACTTTCCTTTTAAGTCAGCAGATCCGCTATTGATTCTTATTGCCAATCTTATTGGTAAAAAATTTTTTAATTTATGTTATAATCAATGAAAATGAAAGTTTTATTTTTTCTTGCGTTTGTACGTATTACACATCCTTGAGTGTAATGTGGACCACTGTTGGTTCATATTACATCCAAGCATATTTTGCAGCAACAGAATAATGTACTGTGAAAAAATTGAAATAACAAGGCAATTAATAAAAAATACTACTAATAATGAAACTACTAAATGTAAGTAAGGAAAGAATTTTAAAAAGTTTAAAATTTTGGAATTTTATTTTTTAGAATTGTTGCAAAATATTTCAAGAGTAGCTTAATTTACAGAAATTCATTACTTGCAATTATTGCAGAAGTAATATTTTTTTTAATTGAATCAATATTGTATCTAGTATTTCAGTTCTACTTGCTGATATGCTAGTTTCTGAAGTATTTGTAATTCCATAGAACATACTTTTCAGGTCAATAACATGCTTTTACAGCTAGTTTTCTATTTCCACAGGTAAGTTCACAGTCGAGCCTTGTAGCTCTTTGGCTTTTTTTTTTTTATCAAACACCTTTCTAATGTGGCTTTAGAAATCTCGTATCTTTTGCTGCACAAGATGCCATTTATTACGGCTTTCATGGCAAAAGGAAACGATAATCCTTTGACAGTATTTCTCTTTAGCTCTTCTATCAGCTCCGGTTGTCATCTTTTAATTATTACTAAATGAATTTTAAGCGAATGTTACTTGTTATAGTATTATTCTAATGCGTTTAATATGAACCTGATATCTAACTTTGGTAGTATAATATGGACCAATCGGACAAATTACACACCATTTCCTGGTTCAAATTATACAAACTATAATTGTTCTATAAAAGTCATGTGATTCCAAAAACAGAGAAGCTTACATGCTTTGGTTTTCTGTTTGAAAGCACTTGTCGTACACTTATTAATAAATACGCTACTGTATAAGCTTGTTCCTTCACAAATATAAAAACTTGTCAAAATCTTGCTAAAAATACGAAGAAAAACAGAAGTGAGATACGAACAAAAATGTTACTTCTCAGATGTTCGATTAACGTAGAATAGTTTTGTTACTCTCAAGCTAAGAAAGTGCCGCAAGATAGTACGCAATGCGAGTTGTCAAAAACTTAAAAATAGCACTGTTTCAAATTACATACTAGTCTATATTACATGGCGTTCCTTTATGTAAAAAAATATTTGGTACAGCACTTTTTGCTCTGCAAGCAACGAAAAGAGTTTTTTTTTTTGCATAAGCACGCCTGATGAAGCCATATTCTAGGTATAAAAGTGACTACAAATCTTGAACGACATTCTTATCAGCTGTGATGGCCAGCATCTCGCCAGCATAAAGCGTTTTATGAAAACAACGACAATTTTGAGGCTGCATTATAGCATCATCTCGTTCACTGGTCATTTGTGTAAATTTTGGTTGAGGACACTTAAAAAGTGTGGTTTATTGAGGACAGCATTGCAAATTTTGCAGCCTTGGAAGTCAGCATCACACTACATCAGAGATGGGTAGTAGTTAACTACTAATGAAATTACACAATGTAGTTAATTACTCTCAATATAATTAACTACTAGCTACAATCACTATCTCAATTTAGTAATTAAACTACTACAGTCCACACAGTGAAAGAGTAGACATGAATCATCCTAATTGGAAGGTTCTATGTCAGATGAAAGAGGTGGAAGAAGACGTGGCATTTGACATATGGATGTGATCGCTTTCAGCTATTTTTGTTACATTTTAAAAATATTTTTATGACAGAATAAAACATTTATTGTTTTATTATTTTTACAAAATGTTTTATAGTCAACTACATGTTCAGTTTCAACCATTCTAACTAGTTTTCCTTTTAATGATTTCCTTTAACTATAATGATGTTTTGAAATAATCTATTGCATTAAGCAGAGCGAATATGTTTTAAAGTCAACAAATTTAGTTCAACTTCTTTACTCGCTTTTGAACAATTTTAACTTTTGAATTTTTGTATTACCAGTTGATAAAGTCGAATTCAAACAACCAATCGAGTTACTTACTTATTGCCCTACTCTTAAATTAAAAAGTTGCAAGGAATTTTTCTGTAAAATAGGAAATTTAGAAAAGAATATGTTAGTTTAAGCTACACAACTACCATCATGTAAAGAATGATTTTTAGAATACAACGCAACCCTTGCCAATAGTGATGCAGTAGAACATCTGTTTTCCTTGTCAAAACAAATTTGAACACTTAGACGATGTAGAATGTCTGAAAAAATTTGAAAAACGTGCATTCCGAGATATTACTTACAAAATATATTAAAGTTTTAAATAATAAGGATAAAATGAAAACAGAACTATTATTTTAATCCAGTTTGATTGTTTATTTCTCTATATCTGAATATTTAACTAATAGTTTCAACTACTTTTATAAAATCAAAGAAACTACATAATTAGCTAATAGTTAAATTACATTGCCTTTTATACTAGTTAATTATGTTGTTAGCTACTTTTTACGTAGTTAATGTCCATCATTACACTGCATGTGAGAAGCACTCAAAGAATCGATTATGGTAGTTGAACACACTGTTATTTATCTTCTGATAGTTGAACATACTTTCAGAATGGGACAACGTTGAGCATTATCCCCTGCATTACTAAGGTCTTTACGAGGCTCTATTAGAAATAAAACGTTGTTGCATGCAGCGCCGAAATTCCGTAGTGGTGAGTTTTTGTATCAAATATATTTTTTAAAAAATGAATTACGTGTGTCCTGAAATGTCATCTTGCCAGATTTGATTGTATTTGGACTGCTATAGCGTTGGACTTTAATTATTTATTTAATTATGATTATACGGTATTTACCAGTATCTAATGTATAAACGGATTAATTTCATTTAATTTAAAAAGTACAAATTGGAAATGTATAATCGTAATGAAAGATTAACAACATCTTTCATCAAATAAAATATAATTCTGTTTAAAATTTTTTCTTTATTATGCTTTGTTTACACAAAATTTTTAGATTTAAAGTTTAAAAATATCAAAACAACCATCTCTTTGATTACATTCTCTAACAGTATTTTAGCAATTATAAATTAATTTTTATTATTTTCAATGGCATTTTCAAGTTTCTAGTTATATTTTTTATTATATAAATATTTTATTAAAATAAAATTCTTTATAAATTTAAACAACAAATCTAATACTATATCGTTTACAAAGATAGAATTATTAATATTACAGTATCAACGAAACTAAAAATAATCTAAAACTTAGTTTATTTGGCGACGAAAGAAAGAACATAATACAATTATATTTTGATTATTTTCTGGAAATAATAATAACTTAATTTATATTCCAATATTCATAGACAGACAAATTAACTTAACAATTATAAAAATCATTTTCGATGTTTTAATTTCTTAAATTAAACCTTTTATGTTCTTTTCACTTGAAGTATTAATTTACCAAATAAAGTTAAATCTCTCATATTTTAAAAATTCATAATTGTTTCAAAGCTAAAAATTTAATTTTTCGTATGATAATAACATTAAAAACGTTAAATTTCTTGTCTTAAAAGATAAAATTGAAATTATTAATCCTAATACATATTAAGATATTTTTTTAATTATATATTTTACAATAAAAATGTTTTAAGATTTTTGCCCATATTCAAATAAATAAATAAAAATATTATTTTAAACTGTCTGAATTTATTCTTTTAAATTTGTACCTTTATAGATTATTTAAAATTACTTTTTTTAAACTTATAAGGACCGTAATTATGTATCATTAAAACTTTCTGTAAAATTATTTGTTTACTAGTATAATTAATTTTAAACTCACAAACAATCTAACAATAAAAAGAGTCACTAATCATTCGTGTTTTGTTGATTCTGTGTTGTTTCAATTAACGCCAACAATAAAATAAACATTTTTTTTTAAACTTTAAAATGTTTAGTAATTAATGAAAAGTTGCAATTAATTGAAATTTTTAATTGTTTCTTAGCTTGTATTTTAAATTTTTGTATGATGCTAAACTTATATTTTGTAGTTTATTTTTTGATATGTATATAAATACATACATACACGTATACATAAATATAATATAAATTAAGATTATTAATGTAATTAATATGCCAAATTTATTTTCACTTTAAATTAAACTGAAATATCTATCATTTATTTATTTAGAATATCTTCAAAATATATTGTTTATTTTAATCATAGATTTTAATTTTTAGATACGTAAACCTAGTACTTGAAATTTTGCGTGCTATGAAGGAAAAAATAAATTTAAATAATTAGTAAAATTTGAATCCAATAATGTTGTTGACTTAAGATTTAATAGAAAAAAATAATGTGCAGCTGAAAAAATTAAATAAATGAAATTATACAAATAATAGAAAAATTATGAAAAATTGGCACAATAAAAGGAATAAAACGAGATGTAAGTATAACATTCCATCTCAAAGATCTATTTTTGACAGAATTAAATGTCCAGTTAAAATTAAAATGAGAGCCACGTAGAACAATTTAGATATATCTTCGTTTTAAAACTTGTAACAATAAAATTCGATAATAATAGAGATGAAAGAGAAACATAAAACTCAAGTATACATTGAGAACCTCCACTGAAGATACGTCTATTATCTTCATTGTTAAATTCTGTACACAAATAATGAATGTTTTCATCGGATTTACTGAGTCAAAATATTTGAGGCAAATTAATGGCTAATTCCCATCTATATTTTTAGCAATTAGGCATCAATATCACTAAAAATTTTCAATTTTTAACGATATCTTATATATGTAATTAACAATATTGTGTTATTATTTATCATTATTAATTATTTAAAAGAAATCGAGTTTTCAGTTAAGTTAAATTTAGTTTGTTACATTTTCTATAGTNTTCTAATTTAATCACAAAAAATCAAATTTACAATTTACAATTAAATAAATTTTTATTTAAGTATTTATTATTAAACTTTATGTTATTCTAATTTGTTTTAAATAAAGTATAAAAAGGAAATATTCAATTCGTTTCGATTATTGATGTTTTTAACGTATCAAATTTACATATTAAAATATCGATAACAGAAATAAGAATGTGAAATTTGTGACACACTTTCTAAAAGATTGTTACAAAGAATTGTATCTCATAAAATTTTATTTTGTTCTTACTCATCATCTCCCTTTGTTTATAGCAACTATAAGATGAGAATAATCATAAAAATTTATCAGTGAGTGAAAGGTGACACATCCACTATGATTATCTTCTGTATTCTTTGTGCCTTAGAGATAGTAAATAGGTAAAAATCGCATAAAATGGAAATATTTTACAATCTTTAAACAACTTTTATTTTAATAGATTATTTTTATGTAATCAATTAACTCGAAAATTCATATTCAATAAGACCAAAAATGGTACCACTTAAAAAAAGAACGATTGATAATATCATAATTTTATGAAGTGATGACGTACTGGAGATGTATCTTTTCCAATTATTGTTTCCATTTAATACTCACAGATTTAGAACAGGATATTTTGAATAGTTATGATTTTCGTCTTTCATTTATTTGTAAATTATTCAGTAATTCAGCTGAGATATTTTAGTTTAGATTATGAAATAATTTTCACTTAACGGATATTCTTCATACTGACTTAATTTTTTATGTTTTTTTTAAAATGATAT